TCGCTTTAGAAAGGCGTTGAAAGTACGTATCCAGTAGGTCCATTGTTTGGAAGCGTCAGGGGCGTTCAGGTGGACATCAAATTTGTCGGGTCGAAGGTAACGGTCCACTATTAGTTGAGTAAATTGTAACGTTTTACGAATCAAGCAAACGAGAGCGGAACAGAGAAGACTCGGAGTCGGAATTATACGCTTTACTCAACTAATAAATCCGGTACATGAGCTGTAATAGAAAAAGAGAGGTTTATGTAATACGCAATATAAGAGTGTGTATAAACAAGATAACCAGAATATGACACGACCATTGTTTGCTGAGCTGCCTAAAGGGTCGCGAGGATCTGCAGTTCACTTTTGGTAACTGGTAACCTAATTTGTATGACTGGGAGTTTTCATCCACATAGGAACCTAAAAAAACAGGAGTGAAATTAAGCCAAGAGACAGAAAAGCTATAAACAACCAATATGGTGGCTTGGTTCAACATTCCAGCCCTGGAGCTCAAAACAGGCCAGAGGAATTAGCCTTAAAGTTTCATAGGCATCTCTTTTGTGTCTAATGCTTTGTACTATCTCTGAGTAGGGATGGGTATACAAATTGTTGGTTTGTCGGGCCACTTTTTAGAGCTTCCAATTCATGTATCATATTTTCATTATCACAGACAAGAATATAAAACTGAAGTATGCTATTCAGAGCTGCGAATTTTACATCAACTGTAGAGTTCAATAGCAAAATGTATCAAAAGTAATGTTCATCCAGAGACAATGCAATTGGTCTAATAGAAACCAAAATTATTTACAAAGTCTTATCAACGGTAGTCTACGTCAATATTGTAAGTGGGATTAGCTTACTGGAGGAACTAAAACACTATATTAAAACCCATCGAGATATGTCTTGTAAGTTGCTAATGAACATAAACACATTCGCACAGAAATGAAACAGCAATGCTTTTTCTGTTCACCGGGAGATCAGTTCATGCAGTTTATTATCGATATGATCCATTGTTCAGAATACTCAGTGAAATTAACTGCAAGTAAAATTAGGCACCACTCCGGCTCAATAGAATAATTTTCCGGGTAAAAATTGCAGTCAAAAGGAGTGAATATAGGGATAAAAAGTCAAACATTATCGGCATTGCTTTCCTTCCGAATGCAGACTTAATCCTGGAGTCGCCTCACGCACTATGAGTGTTTCCATGGATTCATTTGACAAGTGAGGTTTCAGCTTTTTTGAGCACCTAATTTAATCTAACCAGCCGACGGGATTTAATTATTCTTTGATGACAGCAGAAGTAACTTCTGGATGAATCCATGAACTACCAGGATTTCGAAATCTTGTCTCCAATAAACAGATTGCATCAAGTGCCAAAGAAGCGTTAGAAGTCCGTTGATCTACTTGCATAAGAGTCAGTACATTAAAGACACCTCAGATTTAAAATTTGATAATGTTTGAGAATTTAAGATTTATTTGTGAACACATCAGGCAAAAAACCATTAGGCAACAATTCCTAAAAAGACACAGTATCTTCAAGGATAGGTAAGATGTCGCTTTCGCATAAGAAATGCTCTCATTGTTATTATTGTTGTGGCATTGGCACCATGCTTGTCTGCAGGCCGGTATTTATATATATATATATATGTACATATACATATATATACATTCAGTGCGTCTCCTCAAGCATCTAACTTAGGAGTATTAATCACTACCTAAATTTGAGAGATAAAAATCCTATATTTGGATTAAAACAGCTCATCTAGCTGTGGAAGTGAAAATCACCATTACAAACCTACCAAGAAGAGGTCTAAGAAAAGGCTTCAGGAAGTCTTGATTACGATAATTCGCAGCTTGGTTGTGAATCTTGTACACGCGAATGATACAATATTAGTGAGTGATCCGACGGATTGCAAACTGGCTCTCAATGGACTATAGTTCTTCTCACCATACCCACCTCTCTGTCGTTCTGGTTTTGGCTAGCCTAAGAATCCGATTGAGAATCTTCTCTAACTTTCAACTGGATTATCCCACTCCCGAGCAAATAAAAGTTATTTTGAGTTTAAAAACTGAATATAAAGAACAATTAAGATGGAACACATCGAATACATGATTAATTCAATAATTATTCGAGGCTTAAAAGTCTAAAACGAAATTCGTGAGCTTGCAAATACGATTTTCGTTAAATAAAAGCCATACATAACCAGTTTACTGATTGAAATGTGAACTTGAGCTGAACCTCCAATCCGGAATGCTTCTGACCAATACTTTCTGACCATGGTAGACACTTTTAGATCTTGTGAACCATTAAAACTTTGAAAAATCACAGAGGTTCAAAGATAATCATGCCATATCGAAATATAGTCTCTTCGGGTGGGAGACCAAGACATTCTATCAGGTTTTTTATTTTTATATTTTATTACATACTTTTTTAGCGTGATGAACATTAGACGAGGTAACTTCCATAGTCACGGGGATCTGCTGTTCAGTGATGGAAAGCGGTAACCTAAGCCCCAAAACTTGGAGTAGCGAACCATATAAGGCTCCACTAGGTTAAGGTTGATGGTAGGCATTGAAATAAGTGACGGTCAAGGGACAGTGATTCTCGCTTTCACTTCTTATTTGGTCAGAATGCTACCGGATCTGCATTTGAATAGTTAGTTTAATGTGTGGCTTTGATCTATATTAAAAACTAATTCATTCCAAAAGATATAAAAGGCTATGCAAATATCTTTTTTCATTATACACCATTGTGCGATGAAAGTCGGAACGAATAAACCTCATAGTAACGAAGGGATACCATTACCTCCTTATAACCGACAATGTAAGTCATTAGACGTGGATTAGCGAACCATATAAGATCCCAGTTGGATATCAGTACTGTTTTATCATTAACTTCAAGCGAACATTAAATAAACCAGCAAAAGTGTCTTGATCACGATTAGTCATAACACTTAGGGTGTTTATTAGTTCACTGAATAAATATTTATGAGTTTATTTAACTATGGTGAATGAACATTTTCGGATCAGCTCATTAAGTATGTTTCTGGTATCATTCCTTAAATTGCAGTCATGAGAAAGTAAACAAAGCCGGTGAATAAATGTGCATGCGTAATGGTTGTAAAAAGTGAAGCTGATTGGTTTTTCATCAGGCTTATTCGCCCGCAATCTTTGTAATCCTATTCGGCGACGTGGGAAATAACGTCCCAGATAATGTGAGTATTATTTTCTTGTAGTTGGCATTAAGGCGTGCAGAGTGCACACCACACGTGCCTATCTAGTCCTAATCAATGGATACAAGCTATTTCAAAATGCTCTCGAACCAAATATTATAAGCACCTTATTTGCTTAACATTTGTTCATATTACTTTGCCGTGGTATTGTCGTTCTCAGTAAAAAATCTTCTCACGGGTGTTATAGTCCGTCTACTGTCTGTCGCACTTGAATGATGTACGCGGAGAAATAGGCTCGATTTAGGCTCGATCATGACTGTCGACCACGTTTTCACTCTTCGCCAACTTCTACAAAACAAACATCATTTTCATAGACCCAAGAGTTTCATCTTCCTTGATCCGAAAGTGACTCAGTCAGCCTATCTAACCTCCAACATTGCCTTTCCCTAATATGTGTGCCAGAGAAGAATATTTCACTACTACGATTCTCAGTCTGAGCTCAAGGTGTTGTGTTGCTCGAGTTAACCACAAGAAGTGGTGTTCGTCAAAGTTGCTCTGTCTCTTCTTTTCTATTCACCTTCATCATAGATTTGATTGTGGAGGCAAATTTCTCCCCTTGTGAGGAAAATGATATTGGTTTGCTTCCAGATGGCAGACTGTCTGATCTGAAGTATGCTGATGACATGATACTGCTAAGTAAATACCCAGGTAATCTACAAACCTTGTGGACGATTTAAGTGCCGGGTTCACCCTATAAGCTTAAAGTATTTCTACACTACTGGGTTGGTTCAGCTTCTCGTCTCACAGCAGCTGGAAGAGTAACAGAAGAAGTACAAAACGTTTGTACTTTGGGTAACTATCTCACCCGGCAGACGCACTGCACACGAAGTGTTGGCTCGAATACAGAATGCCTTTGCCAACCTGAGATATCTGTGGCGCTATGGCTACATCCGGTTGTCCGTAAAGGGTCGAGTGTATTGAAGAAAGTAGCTTGTCTTAACCATGACAAATGAAAACCAAAACACAAAGGCGTTGGTTTTCATTCGCTGTGGCTGAGACAAGCTAATTTCCTCAATAATCATGGGCGCAACGCCCAAGCTTTTCAGTGAGATCCGTTCCATTCATGGATCTCGTGTTATCAGGTCGAGTGTATGCTGTGGCAGTTCAGTGAATTGCTATGCAATCTATTTTAAAAATCTACCCCACCACAGTTTTTTTATAATTACGCCAAGGATAAGAAAAGGTAACAGCGGAATGTTGACAATTGTGTGGAGAATCCGTAAAATAACGCTACGAAATTTTCATATTTGGACATGCCCATCCAGCGTATGGAAGCGCCTGAGATCCATCATTAGGATGTGAGCTGATTAGCGCGACAGTTTTCCCCAGAATTTACCGAAATACCCCGTATACATGTTTACAGTTGGGATGAATTCACGTTATGTTTTGGACAGATTACGGAAGACAACCTACCGAAATTTGGATTGTGGAATGGCCAGTAGCGTAGGTAGCGTTCATGTATGTGTTCGGAACCCACCAAGGTCAGCGATATTTGCACAATTCTAACATAAGGCGGTTGTCTTCAGTAATCAGCCAAACAACACAGTTGGAACAAAACTACAAACTCTTGCGTAGAAATGGCATCGAACAAAATGAGAAATCGAAGTCAGTGTTCCCTCGAAATCTGACATACAGAGTTTGATAATTTGTTGAGGTATTCCGTATTAAATCAAACTGATTACATCTCACTAACCATAATTATGGGGCAATGTTGTTTTTATATTAGTCTCATTGCAGTTTAACCGACTGTGCTGAAAAATCTCTGTGCACGTAAAATGCGATGACCTAACTTGCATCTGCATTGCATACTTTAACTCGAAAGGTTCGTATCTCAAATTGCGTAACAATTTATGGATCGGCTAAGGTCCACTACCAACTGGCCTAATTGTTATCAGGGGCCATCGCACAGCAAGTCATGAAAACTGTTCAAGGCGATTATATTTTCCCCACGATTTACATTTTGAAAAACAGTGTGAGTTTGAGTTACCCCATAAATCCTATTAGTTTGTGTTTTCTTGCCCTAAGCAAATCAAAACACGTGCAAACCATAGATATATATTTATATTTTATTACTCGAAAAATAATGATCATTATGATTTGCATTTTTACACCTGGTTTGTAGCTCACCAGTCTCAATGGAAGCAGTTGGTTGATTTACAATGATAACGCATACTTATTGAAACAAATCCATACGGGTCTGAATCAGTCGTTGTTGTCTATTGTACAGATTACCCGGATTTGTGTAGCATGGGCCTAAATCTGAGGTGCGATCGATTAGGTTATGCTCATCTGGGTCGGTGATTAACATATTTGGGGAGACTAATACACACATATGTTAAACTGTGGTTCGTGTCAAAGGTCTCACAGTCCGGTTTGTGCTTGTTTTCAAACGTGCTCAGATGAACTCGTATTTGCCGGTAGCTTGTCAATTAAACTCAGGTTCCGGTCAGACCTGCCCCCCCCCCCAAATTCAGTGCAGTCATTCTAACTACATGAAATTAGTGGATAGAAATTACATAACATATGTTTAGGGGACTACCTTTTAAAACTTTTTTCTATGCTTTTCGATCAAATTAAGACAGTTGAGAAGTTTTGATGGTTTTTGTGTTTCATTTATTTTAAGTACTTTCTTTTGTTTCAGCTGGTTATCAAACCGTACATATTCGAATGTGTCTTGTACAAATCGATAGACGTAAAACAATCACGACTGGAACTTGCGGACAACTGTGCCCGGTTTATTTTGAAGAAACGGGACGAGGAATTATGGAAACAACTTACATCGGAAGTGATGCGTAAGTTTGTAAATTGAATCATATGGAAGATAGCATGCTTTTCTGCTATTTCATTGGATCACACGGTAAAATTTTTGAAGTCCTGTATAACTCAGTCTGCTATATGTTGCGTTTCGGTCGTATCTGTTTCAATAGCAAGGCAACAACATAGAACTAAGTCAAGGCTGGTTTTATTTTCTTCCTTAGGGATATTTCTATGTTCACTTATGCACGCTCCAGGTTATCCGACATGGAAAAGCTGGTGAGAGCGAAATTCAAACACTCACTCACGCATATATAAGCGTGAGTGAATCATATCAAATGTAGTCTTCATCTCAAAGAAGGATGAAATTACAGCGAGGAAAGCGGTTTAAGAAAATTGGTAGCCCTGGTGGAATCTATCCTAGAGATGATAACGAATACAAGAGCCCATGATGTCACACAGACAAACAGGAAATAAACCGCTAAGAAACCAGATCGTGATCTGGCTCAGTGGTTTCCACAGTCAGATAAATTAATTCGGATATATAGAAAGTTTCAGGTTGTGCCCTCGGAGACAGCCTAAGTTGAGACTAAGTGATATGGCTGATTATTGCCTGCGATCACATTGGAATCCATAACATACCTGTATCTTGTATCTTTATCTGGGAAGTGCTGTTAACGTTATACTTCTTTTTCTATCAGTCAGTCAAATGGATAGCCGTAACATTACCTCCGAATGCAGCGCACATGATTGTATTTATCGGTCGTGCGAACGAGCACTGGGACTGGAACGTGCAATGCTCCTCCTGAATGTCCGAAGTTTGCACGCACGCACGCACACACACACACACACACACACACACACACGCNCACACACGCACATGCCAAAACATGACCTGCAACTGAGCTCATAAGTGCATTTATGGGCCAGTTACCTAGACGGATTCCAATGTCATTCCTCATTCCTCTGGAAGATTGTGCATTAAAATGCGTGTGTTACTATCGTGCACCAACGAAAATGGTTATTTACATATAAACAGTGATTAGCTTGCGTTCCTGAGAAAGTAAAGAGAACTTTTATACACCCAGTTCCTGTTAGGATGTAAACTATGAGAAAAGGCAAATTGCGTTCCTGCCGTACGACATTACTTCATTCGATTCGGGTATTCCCGGTCATAAAGTCAACTACGGTGTAACGACAATCCTAATTGTATGGCTAGTTTCTTCGCAATCAGAGCAAAGAAGATGTGACCCAAAACGCTCGGGAGCACCGTACAGCTGTTTCCACCTGGTTAAAAGAGATGGGTTGCCCGCAACAAGGTTCTAAAGGGAGTTTGCGATTTGTTGCGCATTACCAAAGAGGAACTGTCTAATCCGCTGCCCGGTGGCCAAGTGGGCAGTCTGCCCATGTTCTCGTGAGATCCAGCATCCGGCCTCCAGTTGGAGTGATGGATTCCAAAACAGATGATGAGGCCTACCTTGGTTGAAATAGCTGCTCAGTGTTTCTTGTTCTTCATTTCAAGTTTGAAATACATGTATTTCCATGTATTTCACAAACGCCTCTATCTGTGTGTATCCTGCATACAACGAAATTCATTATGAAGATGAGTTAAATCTTTCAATGTCCCACTGAATTCGTAATCGTATCGAGGTACTCCCAATCAGTCCACGTCCGCACTTCTTATGTTCAACCATACCTTGAGCTATCTCAAACGTGACTCAATTGTTGTCGAATTCCGTCGAGCAATATAGAACAACGTGGAATTATTGTAGCTCGGGATGCGGATGTTGGCGTTGGTGTATTCTCCGAGATGAAAGTGTTGTTGATAGACGTTTCTTAACCAGGCTTGGCAGCATCATCATTGCAGCTTCTCGGAAACCGAAGTGAATCTTTACAATTTCCTTGCAATCTTACTCCACTGGATCTCTTCATTTTCTCTTCAACTTTACTTTCATTTTCCTGTCTTTCTCATACTGCTCCATCCAAATAAGCAGCCAAAAGACAGCAACCAAACTGGTACAGGAAAGTGCCAGTGCCAAATTGAAACTGAAACACTATCCATCGATTATTGGCTTATTGAATAATAGTCTTTGATTGGTTGCTACTCCATTCCGAAACATGGATTGAGCTTTTGTTGCGTATTGCATAGTGATAATAGTTAATAATAGTTAATATTGTTTTTGTTAATGATGATGGTTGTACAATTCGGTCTACGAACTACAAGCGGTTGCAGGTTTGTAGATATTTTTAAATTATCTCATACCCTTCTGAATTTCACATGACGTATATTGCGCGCTTGTGCTCCTATTTATTGTGCACCCATTCGCAGATCCAAAAACATTTCACAATTGGATAATCAATTTGTTGTCTAGGTGATAAAAATGAATTTCAAAAAATCAAACAAGAGGCAATAATCGAATTTCAGGAACATGAGAAGGCTCGAGAACAACAGAAAAAGACTCAAGTACGCGAAGCTGAGAAGAAAGCGCTGAATGAATTGATGCGAGTAAGCCAAACCCAATTCTGCCGAGAAATTCGTAATACATTTGTGTTTCTTAGATCGAGGGTTTTGAACGCGAGCGGATTGCCCGAGAAAAGAAGGAAGCCGGTGATAAAGCGATGGAAGAACTGGTTCGATTTCATGAAGAAGAACAGAAACGGAAGGCACAAGTAGATATCCATTAGATTATCTTTCTCTCTCATTCTCCTTTCACCCTAATATAGTTGCAGGCTCAGATCCAAGAAGCCAAAGCGCTGGCCAATAGAATGAGTGAAGAAAGGCGTAACACCGCCGTGGTCATACCAAAATCGGTTCCCGCAAGTGGTAATCTTAGATGACATGTTCTCTTATGATTGGCAAAATCTGTGTTCAGATGACAAGAATACGCCTTCGGGTGATACAGTCCTCCTGGAAAAACCATGCGAATTACCCATACGTGAATCAAACCGAATTACGATCAGTTTCACGCCACGTGTGTTTCCCACCCCGGAACGGGAATCGACAAAACGGGAGGAGGAAGAGGTAAGCAAACGTGTTTGATTGCCTATGTTGTGTATTTCTTAGTTTTTCGGGCTCAGATCTTGAGTCAAACCAAGCCTGATACAACAAACTTCGTTATGGCGAAGGAGTAAATACATGTTTTGTTTATGAATTTGAGACTGCAAAGGTGCCCAAATCAAAACAAATGGTTACTTTAGAGATTGAAAACCGGTGTCTTCGAGTAACCAGACCCTGAGTTGCAAGACACCGATTGCAGTGGATCGGGGTTCATTGTCCAATCAGTTGGATGTTAGATGTTTGAGACGCGGTTTACACGTCAAAATGCTAAATGGCCCAAAAGAGCGAAAATAATCTTCACCACTGATGTGCCCTGAGGACAGTTCGTATACCTCTTTTAAAACAGCCTCATCTAGATGTTTTATGTGGTTTCTCTACCGCTGGCTTAGCCAACAGGTTGCGTTCCTGAATGTCGGCTTTTCATTTTTTCGCTAAAGTGAAAATACCCTCACCCCGGAAGGCAAAATCTGCTTCAACAGTCATACTTTATGAGGTGGCATTCTCTGGTAGATGTCTTACCAACTCACTGCGAGACTTGAATCTTTTAAGGGATACATTCTGTGCTAAAAGCTCACTCCGCATATCAGTAGTATTTCGTTTACGTTTTACTCTTCCCTTGTATATCCTGATCAAATAAGGCGACGGTGTTAGCAGCAGGAAGGCCCAGGGCAATGTCCAAAACAAAGTGTGTGGATTCAAAACTTTATTTCAATGCTATTCTCACATATATGTATTTTTGAGTGTGTAAAAACAAAGTTAAAAACATGATGAGAAATAAATTTTCATCAAGGGACTTAACTTCAACGACATGAATACCACAAACAGGGAATGTTTAATGAAACTCGAACAAACTTTCAAATAGTCTGAACTTTATGTAAATGCGTAAACTACCATTGTCTCAGTTCTGGTACCGAAAGGAAATCCCAACGCTATATCAATAAGCGAAGAAAGAGAACTGCTAAACACTGAGGATGAACAAATGCGTCAGCGTTTTACCCACTGATAAAAGGCGATTGACAATTCATACACAAAAGTTGGACTATATTCAAAATGCCACAGAACTAATTCAAGACAATGCCACCAAAATCCCACGGACCGCCAAACTTTCGGGCAAAATCAACACCACATGGAAACGAATGGAAGAATTGCATTATAAAACCAAAGAAGAACACTAAATAATGAAATGAAAAAACCTCTGTTGTCACAAAACTCTATAGAGAATCTAGGTAGAAGTAACACTAAAACAGCAGTTGATAAAAGAGCACCAACCAAACCAACCAATGTAATCAGCTGCCATCTGCGAACTCGTGGAAGGTCAAAAACTGGGAACATCTCAAAGGAATTTCAACGGGATTACCATTGTTCAGTTTCATAATCAAATCCGTGACACAGAAAGTGGAGAAGAAAGTACCAAGAAGAATCATACTTAGACAAGTTGATGACACATTTGTCACTTTGAAGAATTCCGAGCAAGAAGACCACACTCTGCATCACCGGAAACACATTTAATGACATCAAGTTTACAATGGAGATGAATTATGATAACGAACGAGCATTCATGGAACATTTGGCCTCCGGGACATCATAACAGTCTCAAAAGACACTGGTCTGACAAAGCAACGTCTGACACAGTGCCGCTGATGATAGTGTACTCAGACCGAATTCAGAAGGATTCAGATATTGTCGCACAGGAACACTCAAAACAGGGGAAGAACAGCTCTTCGGATTGTTCGCTCGTAACGGCTATACTCGTAGCTTCATCGAAAACTCTGAACCAAAAAGGAAGGAACAAAACTACTACAAAACTACCGACCCGTCACTCTCTTTTCAGTATTGTCCAAAGTCATGAAATCTATTGTTGCAGATTCGGTAATGGATCATCTGGAGAAAAATGACTTACTATCCCCAGCCCAGCAAGGGTTTCGAAAAAAATCGTTCATGTGCAACTAATTTGATTTTGACTCGGGACGATTGGACTCATGCTGTAGACCAAGGCAAAGGGGTAGATGTTATTTACCTGGACTTCTATGAAGTCTTTGATAAAGTAAATCACCAAATACTGATAAGGAAGCTGTATAACTATGGAATCCATGGACTTTGCTGGATCGAGGAATTTCTTCATCTACGTACTATGTCAGTTCGTATTTCCGATTCACTTTCTGATTCAATAGATGTCAACCGCGGGATTTCACAAAGATCTGTATTAGGCAAACGCCTTTTACTTGCCTTTATAAATGATCTTCCAGACATCCTCGGACCACAAACTCTGCTGTTTGTGGTCGATGCCAACATATTGAGGACAATATAAAAACCAGAAGATTCATTTGATCTTCAGAACGCTCTTTAAGAAGCCCACAAATGGTCTGTTTCCAATGATATAGAATTCAACGTTACCAAATGTAAAGTTTTATCACTACGACACCCTGGTCGTTATTCCTACACTCTCGGACACGAAACTTTGCCTCATGCTCCATCCGAGAAGGATCTGTGAGTAGCCATTCGCGCAGACTTGAGTTGCTCCACAAACTGTTCCACGGCATCATCCATGGCGGTGAAAAAGGTTGGACTGCTCAAACGTGTTTTTGGATCGCTTGAGCCGGCTTTGTTTCCAAGTCTGTTAGCCACATATATCCGTCCATACACCGAGTACTCAATTCAGGCCTGAAACCCATGGCTGCAGCGAGATCGGGAGGCACTGGAAAATCCACAGAGAGTGGCTACTAAGATGGTCAAAGGTCTACATTCCAAGACCTATGGCGAAAGATTACAGCTCTTGGGGCTATACTCGTCTCAATATCGTCAAATCAGAGGCGATATGATCTTACTGTATCGGATTTCCCAACACCCCAATCANCCATGTAGATCTCTTTTGGTTATATCAACCAATGTTCATCTCAGAGGGCATCCACTGAAGTGAGCCGTCTCGACTGCAGACCCCATCCAGTTGCAGTAAGAGTGTGCAGCCAATGAAACTCTCTGCCACCTCACTTGGTCTGTGCGCCAACCTTAGTATCTTTTAAGCGTCAGCTTGATGGTGCTCTGGCAAACATTAAGTTTCAACACCCAACTACATAACATATTCTCCTGTGCTCGTCAAAAACATTACATTACTATTTTACGTTCATGGGC